TGACACAGTTAATAGACAAACTTCAAAGCTTGTCGTCCTGCAGCTGTACAGAGCATAGACATCAAGAGGATTTTTTAAGGCATATATATCTATGCCAGGTTTTAACCCTCCAAAGGAAATAACTATATTAATGTGGTAAACATGTACCTGCCAATATCTCCCTCCAATTTTAAAACAAAATAAAAAAGCATCAAGCAGATGACAAAGTTCTTAGGGAAAAGATTTTTAACATGGAAGAGATACAATCACTCACACTTCTGTATGACTTTGAATTTGTGAAATATTTTTATACACTGTGATTTGTGGTCTTTGAGGCAAACCGCTTAAGTAGAAACGGTTTATGTCATCTTGCACCTGAGATCAGCATGGCTCATAAAAGTGACTTTCACAGAGTCACCTACCGAGTCTGAGCAGGAGCCATGGTTTGAGTCAGGGTTTCACATCTGAAGTCTTCCCCTTTCCATTAACCAAGACTGTTAAACACACAGGAAGCAATACATATCCTAGAAATCAAATGGCCTGTGTGATCTGCTGAGTTGGATAGAATCCAGGAGCAGCTATCAGATGCTCGGACTCCCATTCTGGTGTTTTGTAATTTGAACCACCCATCCTCCAATGCAGGCAAGCTCCAACATGCCTTCTGAACTTTTATTGCATGCAGATGTTCTCTTGGTGTTGTGAGGACACGGCTGGAAGACATGAGGGTCTTAGTCATAGTCTCTTTACCCATCATACCTTGCATAAAGGAAGCCCTAAACACATAATTATTTAAATGGAATGAGTCCATTCATTGATTTCTGCAAGAAGTTTTCTTAAACCTCTGCCGTATGGCTTGTTTTAGTGTTAAACAGGGCAAAGAAAGGACTCCAAACAGCCAGCCTGGAATACAGACACTGGTGAACCTCTAATACTAGTGAGTGGATTTCTCAGAAAACTGCGCTGTGTTGTGTAAGAAGGACACAGGAATATAACCCAGCAAGAGGCAGTGGGGAGGGCCTTCCTATAAGACAGATTTAATAGACATCAGCACCCTAAGACAGAAGGAGAAGGTCATGAAGAAGGAAGAACAGCCAAGACAGAGAACTCTGCCTGTGTACTAAAGTGAAAAAGCACCCTGGTTGTACATCCTAAATGTTGCACCTTAGGGAAGCCCAGTTCTCAGAGAAAATCTAATCGGGATGGAACCCTTGGGACATCAGGTACGCTAACAAATGAAAATCGTCCCCCCATGTAGCTAACCACGCACTCTTACATCGTCAGAATCTGTCTTTGGTAAGTGTACAGAGCCCTACTCTAAAGTTCAGTTAACCTTTTTGCTACTGTGTAGAGATGAATATCCCAACTACTTTCTACGCTGGTTAAAAAGGTGGGCTGTTGTGAACTTGTTACAAAGGTTTATTCAATAATAGTTGTTTTTATAACTATGAATTTTGGAGTTAATTATAACTGCTCTTCCAGTTGTAAATTAAGTCTTTATCTAGGGGAATATTAAGACAGTTTGATACATATGGTATCATAAAGTCATGTGTGGTATCCCATATAATAAATGCTATCACCTTACAAAAGGCAGTTTATACAAGTCATTATAAATGACTTTATCAAATATACAAGACTTTATAAAACGAGATGTTCTTACAGGCTATGGTTTTATGATAGAGCATGTCTCAAAGCATGTATATGTATATAAATATGTATATTTCTAAAGGGCCAGGAAGACACACATTCTCAGTGCGTGTACACAGACCTTGAACAGGTGATGGGGAGCTCTAAAAAGAAAGACAATGTTAAATGTTGAACTATATGCCTGCAAAATTCGTATTTTGAAATCCCAGCCCCAAGGACCTTAGAATGTATCTGTCCTTGAAAACAGGGCATTTGAAGAGCTAATTAAACTTAAACAAGGTCATAAGGATAAGGTCCTAATCCGGTATAACTGGTGTCCTTACAAAAAGAGGAAGAGAGTGTGTGGGCAGAGGGAAGGTCATGTGAGGACAGGGGGAGGTGACACAGAGCAAGCCAAGGAGAGAGGCACCAGGAGAAACCACGATGCCAAACAGACCGCAGGCTTCCATCCTCTAGTACTGGGAACAAGACTAATTTCCATTGTTAAGCCACCTGATCTGTGGTGTTTTCTTACCCTCAAAAGCAAAATTCATATGTCAAACCTCAAGCATCCAAAAACAATATTTGAAAGAGGTCCTTTGTGGAGATAATTAAGATTAACTGAAGTTGGGACTAGAGGGATGATGACTCAGAGGTTAAGAGCACTGACTGCTCTTCCAGATGACCCGGATTCAATTCCCAGCTCACACATGGAGGCTCACAACATCTGTGATATGATGCCTTCTTCTGCCTGTGGCTACCAGGCACGGAAGTGGTGAACAGACATGCTCAAGCAAAGTATCCACACACATAAAATAAAATTAAAAGATGAAATGAAGTCTACCGGTTAGGTCCCAAACCTGCAGGGACTGTGTCATTCTAAGAAAAGGAAAGATGAATGTATGGGCAGAGTAAATGCTATATCTTCAGGTCTGGGAGAGCAATCTACATCAGAAACCAAATTTTATGGCCCATGAACCTTAAGCTTTCAGCTTTCAGTAATGTGTGAAAATTAATTTTCTCATTTAAGCCACCTAGCACTTTGTTATAGCAGCCCTAGACTGCAAATGTGGATACACATTTTGCAGTCACAAATGCATATGTACAGGTAAATGATGACACAGACTGGTCCAACACAGGAAAATTATCTGTAATTCTGTTTGAAAACAGAAGCCTAACATCATGGCTTTGTAACCTGGAATTTTTGTGAGACACAAAGCAAGGGTTCCATAATTATATTCATGCATCCAGTACATTTTAGGAAAAGGGATCAATGAATGCATGCCATTCCATTTTTCAAAATGCTCTGAATGTATTTAGAGTGATTCTCTCACCTTTCAGAGAGAATGACCCCAGGCTTAAGCCACCTGCATTTAGCATAGAAGAAGCCTGGACCCTCCTGGACTCTCCAGCTGCTTCCTGAACCTTTCTCCACGTTCCTGTCACTTATTAAGTTACGTTAGAAGCTTTTTGTAAGTTTAATTAAGCCCGACTAATTTTTCAATGGTACAAAGAAAGATTAATTCCTTAAATATTGAAACCATTTATGATTCAAGGTGTCATTCTTTGAATGTGACTGTTCAATTCTTTGAATTAATTACCCTTCGAATTAAACCTGCTTTTTGAGACATATAGTCATATCTCACACAAAGCATAAATTCAATATTTCAACTCTTCGCTCAGAGGCTATTCCAAATGCGCGTTCAGATCCTCACCCTGCCCATGAAGCGACATCCTTCATGATAAGCCGCGTGATTGTCAACTCTGCCCTCATCTTGATTGCCTTTCCTGGGTTTCCCTCCTCTTCCCTCCTTTGTCCTGGTGTTAATCAGTTAAAACTTCGCTTTCCTCTGTGCTGGGGAGATAGCCACGTGGGCACACAGCTTCTCTGGTAAGCTGAGGACCTGAGTGTGATCCCCAGGACACACGAGGAAAGCTGAGTATGGGTGCAGAGATCTGTGATCCTAGGGTGGAGCCAGTCCAGGCTGTCAAACTGACAAATCTCTGAGCACACCTGTGAGTTTCTGCACTGGGCGAATCGAGACGGAGAGACACACCGTTACTGTGGGAAAACACCGTCCCGGGGGCTCACATCCTAGACTTCATAAAAGGAAAAACATATGGGCTGACTGCTGAGCACTCACCGCTCCCCGCCTCCTGCCCGTGGCTGGTCAGACACCTCCAGCTTCCGATGCCATGACTCCCCTGTCGTGATAGAATCTACCCTCCAACGGCAATACAAAACTCAACCCTTTCTCCCTGAAGTTGCTTTTGTCAGGGCGTTTGTCACAGCAATGAGACAAAGTACGTATTAATGGTGCATCCAGTGATGGTGAGATGGAGACAGGCAGAGACGGGGCTTTACTCCTCAGCTAGCGCAGCCTACTGAAAGCACTTCCAGGCCAGCGAGAGACCCTGTGTTGGGGAGGGAGGGGACAAACGTGGATGGTAACTGGAAACAATCGAGGTTGTCTCCGGGTTCCACACCTGTACCTGCCCGGTCCTGTTACACCTAGAGCTCATCTCCAGCTTCATCTGCTTCTAGAAGTTTTCCCTCGGGCTTCTTTTCCCCTCAGTGTCACTGTGGAGCCATCTGAGTGCATCTCGGATTCCACTTCCATGGCGCAGAACCTGTCTGTCACTACAGCGAAGGCCGCTCTGTATACGAGGCTCATAAGTAAGATTTCCAACCCAAGAACTCAAGGGAGCCACTCAGATAACCACATCTAGGATTACTTACAATCCCCAAAGAAATTCTACTCCGGGTTCCCATGCAAGAAAGCCGAGAGACTGAAGACGGGAGGCGCCGGGAGAGTGTGCCGTGTGCACCCACACATGGCACCCACCAAAAAAAGCAAAGTGGCGACTCCTGAGCCCCCGGGATTTGTGGGAGGGCAGCGCCCGACAACCGCCCCCAGCACCACACCAGACGCAGAGGCCACGGGGGGTGCAGCTGGGGCTTCTGCAGTGCCCTTTGACTGAAATTCAGATTTCCTAAGTAACGTGGAACAGCGGAAGGAGACATGGCAGCTGTTTGGCCCTCCCCCGGGGGAGCCTCAGTTGAGGAAGCGTCATCACCTGAGCCCGCTTTCTAGCATTCGCTGTATCAACAGGAACTGCAACGCGTAGCCAGCGTGAGTCACGGGGCAGTCCTCTTTCACCCAGCACCACCCGCGCGCCTTTGATTTAAACCGCAATGTTTACCTCAAAGACATGAAGCACAAAGTGCTATGTTAGAATTCTTGGCTCTAATTGCTTCTAACTGAAAAGGAAATACTGTGCATCATGAAACCAAGAGTAGACAAGAGGAGAGAGAGGTTTACTAATCCTCCAGTCGACGTGCAGGGGAAAGCCAGGCCTGGGGTTACTGCAGCGGCCGCCCACGCATGCGCACTCACCGCCTTTCATCATGCCCACTTCATAGCACTTGCGCAGCCGGCAGGCCTGGCAGCTCTTCCTCCTGTTCTTGTCAATGGTGCATTGGTTTGTAGCTGGGCACATGTAGTCATTATGTCCTAAAGAAAGCAAGGGAATCAGATTAGTATCATTTCGGGAACCCCAAGGTGTCGGATCTGTGTGGGGGTCTGCTGAAGGTGTGTTTAGCAGCCAGGGCCTGGCCACGCTCAACTGCCAACCCAATCTCTCCTCCTTCTCCATCTTCCCCATGCAGACAAAACCTCTGTTATCCTTACGCTCTCCTCACATGGCTGCTTTAGGAGTTCTTTGGGTAAACCCTCTCCCCTTACATGACTTTGTTGGACAACATAATGAGGGGTTTGTCTGCGGTGCAGGAGATGGAGGCCCAGGGCGCCCCACGTGTCAGGCAAGCATCTGTCACCAGCTAGCCTCCCCACTCTACAGGAGGATGTCATGAGGACATAGTCAAAAGTCAGGTGTTATGTCCGTAAGCTTTGTTTTGTTTTATGGTTTGGTTTGGTCTGAGTTTTATGGGATTTCTCAGGATACTCATGGAAAAAAATGTCAGAACTGTTATAAATCAAACTTTCTAGAAATTTGAGGAGAAAATGAGGACTCTTTAATTAATTAGATATTCAGATGAATTGCAGGAAACCTAGATTCATGTCAGCAAAGGCTGGGTGGAAGCTAGCCTGACAGCTAAACGTTGCAGAGCAAGCTGCTGGCCCTTCCCTCAGGCTCGTTGTCCTCCTGTCTAAACTGGAAAAAATAATGACACGCATGCAGGAATTTTATAATTGTTGCGCCATTGTTGTATGACTTCAAAAATGAGTCAGTGTACGTGACAGTGCTCCAGACTGGCCGCGTCATCTAGGTATGAATGCCCTTTCTTTCCTTTCTTGTCTGTTGATGCTCTCCATCAAGCACTTCTCGTTGGCCTTGGGCACGTGCAAGCCCACATCCACACTAACTCCTACTTTACTCAATGTCCTTTTCACCCAACTGTATGCCTCAGAAATGTCCACTCTGGCCTTAGCTCCCCTTGGCTCTCCTGAGTGGCTCAACACAAGCCATGGCTTTATAGTTTGTTTCCTCTCACTGGCTGCTCCTGTACGAAGTCTACGTAATGCCAAACTCTTCACAGGGGAAAGACTTGAATTTGGACTAAGGACGAGGGCCAGGGAATGCTACGTTTTCCATTCTCAAAACAAAGCAAAAATATATTTCACATACTAATTTGGATTCCTTATACAGGCCTCTCACCCCTGTTCACTAAGGGCAAGATGCAAGGTAGTGGAATGTTTGAAGACTGGTTCTTTGCTCCTTTGCAGCATAAGAAACAGCCCCAACTAGAACAGGATGGGGTGGGAATTTGAAGAAAAAGGCAAGACAATGCTTTTAGATGTATTTTGAAAAACCCACATGTGAAAAGGCCTCAGATCAAACATCCTCGTTCTTCTATTGCATGAGAGACTGTAAAGACAGTAACCAGCACTGAGCTGGAGAGTGGCCAGAGTCCACACACTACCTCAGAAATCCAGGCACACTGCTGGGTTCTCTTCCTTCCTTCCTTCCTTCCTTCCTTCCTTCCTTCCTTCCTTTCTTTCTTTCTTCCTTCCTTTCTTTCTTTACAGAGTATCTATACAGGTTATGTAGCCTAACCTGGCCTTGAACTCACAGAGATCTCAAAGACTTGCCTAGAGTAAAGGCATGTACCACTGTGCCCAAGCACAATGGTTACCTTTTAATTGTCTTTGTGAATAGGGAGAAATTAAGGAAGGCATAGAATGAGAAACAAAGTTGATATGGGCTTAGAGTTAGCAAACTCTAAGCAAATGCTTCAATATCCTGTTACCCTAAGGAAATTTTTAGTGTTTTAGGCCCTCTGATGTTTACACAGAACACATCAATATATTTTAGCTCAAAAAAAAAAAAAAAAGTACATATTAAGCTTCGGTTAAAAAAAATATTTACTAACTACTTAAACCAAACATTATGCTGACTCACTTTGTCTCCAATAGTCAGGTATTCTGAAAGCCAGAAGAAGAAGGGAGGAGTGAAATGGGTCAGAAACCAACTGGCTGCCTTTCCTACTTGGATTGGCTCTCCACTGTAGATGTCTATCTTCATGAAACCAGGTGAAATTCTTGAGCTAACATTTCCCTCTGACACCAAGTGCACGGTATCTGTGTAAATGACGCCATCCTTTAGCAAGAATGAGAGCAGAGGCACAATGCGGGACTTTTATGACAACATTCAAAGAAGCCGGAATACTTAATCGATGACCTGATTGAAAAACGATTCCGATAAGTAAATGTTTGCTATCTTCAGTCAAGGCAAACCCTTCCTGACCAAACACCAGCGATGGCTGTTTTTAAGTCTTCAACCGACATGAGGTAAAAGGAACGAAGCTGTTTTCCCTTGATAACTCTGTAAATGCCTCTGTAAAGGCCTTTTATAAGCCCTATTTGATCTTGTAAAAATAATTTATGAGAGAATTTTACTAAAGTAGATTTAATTTTTAAAAACCAACTCATTTAAATGAGTGAAACATACAGTAATTTTACTACAAAGACAAGAAGCCATGGCCTTGTAATTTTACTACAAAGACAAGAAAAATTACAAAAGGATACACCTAAGATATAACAGTCAAGCGGAGGGTTGGGAAACTGAAAACCATTTTCTTTCTCACCCAGAATGAAAAGCAAGGCCTGGGGATACCACTCAGTGGCCAAGCAATTACCCAGGCTCTACAAGACCTGGGGTGCCCTCATCATCACGTGCGAAAAAGTATGTAAGAATCCTTTGGAGGAATATATAGCTTCAATAGCAGACACATAGGGACAGGAAGACAACACCTACAAGCCAGAGCTGCCAGGCAAACCTAGTTTCTGACAAACACTGGGCCCCTATCACACAAGGACATTTCCTTCCTCTTCATTAGGATTCCTTTCTCTTGACTTTTTCCTTCTCTCATTTATTCTCTCCCATGGTGGCTGTTTTCTTCTTATTATTACCACTTAGAAAGCCCAGATTTGTTTGTTATGAAAATAAACGACGATCCATACCCAGGCACTTAAAAGGAAGATAAACACAGACCTAATTAAAACAAGCAGTATCTGGAGAGAAATCTCATCCTGTGGACTTTTCCCTTTGTCGTCTTTCCCCTCAGGACATTTTGGCAGCTAGCTCTGATCAAATCTCCTTCTTGGGGTTTTGTCCCTGTCTGCGCACCCGACATCCATCTACCCAGAACTGACTCACAGACCTTTCGGAACTGGCATTACCAGTCGAGCTGACTGCTGTGGTTTGAATCTCAAGTGTCCCCACCAGCTCGTAGTTTGAAGGCGCAGCCTCCAGTTTTCAGCACTATTCTGAAGAGGGGGCCGGGCTGGGGCAAGCAGACCGCTGGGGGAGGGCAGGGGAAAGTTATGCTGGAGCCTGGCTCTGACTCACTTTCTCCTTCTGATCCAGACTCCAGGTGGCAGGCCCTGCCTTGGACTGCCACCTGCCAATCTCCGAGATCCGTATCCTCTCTCCTCTCAGCTACCCACCCTGAAGCCACACACACAGAATCCCTGTGCGTGACTTTCTTCACGGGACCCTCCCGCCATAACCCGCACTGCGAGGTCTCACACACACAGACACCAACAGAGAGGTCAAGCCAACGATTCTGATTCTTTTTCAAAGCAAAGCCAGGTACTTAAAGTAAATGCAAACATGTGTGGGAGTCAGCGTGCTGTGGGTTAATTGTGTACGCGTGCGTGCGTGCGTGCGTGCGTGCGTCAGTGTCTCTGCGTGTGTGCGCATGTGAGTAAGACACAGGTAAATCTGGAATTTCTTCCTTCTCTGGTCTTTTACTCCATTACTCACAACATCATTTATATTAAAATTTTATTTATCCCTGGACCCTTTTCATCCATATATGATGTTCACTGATCAATGTGCCTCATCCTCGAACTCACATTGACCTCTCTCATCCTTTTCCCCCTCCGACCAAATCCTTCTTCTTTCCACGTCTTTCTATCTTGTGTCCTTTTACTGTGACTGTCTGCCTCTAACAGGGTCTCCTGCATGCGCATGGGTAGGGCATCGCAGGGGTTTGGCTTGTGGCTGCTACTCACATTTCAAGTGTACCATTCAAGGAGCCGGCTCCTCTGCAACTCCGCCCCCTAAGCCAAGCTTACTTTGTGTCCTGTCATCACACTCACCAAACTGGCTTTTTCATTGCTTGTCTGAACCCACACGTGGGCTCAGGCTTGGCAGCAGTGGTCCACACCGGGCCCATCATTCCACCATGCCCACCACATCCTCAGGCACAGAGCAGAGCTCAGTGAGCCAGGATACTGAGGCTCTGGCTGTCCCTCCACCAACCCATCTGTGCAGCTCAAGTCCCAGGAGGAGTCAGGCGGGGCTCTAACACGGAAATCACCACTGTGTCGGTCACTTTTCTGTTGCTGTAATAAAATGCCATGATCAAAAGCAACTTATAAAAGAAAGAGTTTGTTTTGACTTACAATACCAGAGGAGGAGGGAGGAAAGAGAGAGAGAGTCATAAAGGTGGTGGAAACATGGCAGCTGACAGCCGGAGAAAGACGCTAAAAAAGCATCTCTTTGCCTACAAGCATGAAGGAAAGAAAGCAAGCCGGAAGCAGAGCAAGGCTTCTCCAGCAAGATGGCAACACCTCCACAGAGTGTCATCAGCTAGCGACCAAGGGCGCAAATACCTGGACCTCGAGCAGGCATCACTCAAACTACCACCAGAACTCTGAGCAAAATAAGCAAGCAGCACCTAACACGTGTTAACACAGAGCGCTCAGCTCACTCAGAACGCTTTAAGTCATGTAAATCAAAGTGAACGCCCAAGGGTAAATGAAACCTTAGGTGTTTAACACACACACATCAAATAAAAGCAAATCGTAGTCAATCTTGCCGAAAAGCCTCACTGGAGAAGCCCAACAACACTTTTAAATTTTTTTTTCTTTTTTGTTATTAGTTTGTACACACACACACACACACACACACACACACACACACACTGGGGGGCGGAGACCATGTGGAGGTCAAAAGACAGCTTTCAAGATTTAATTCTTTCCTT